AGACATCAGACATTACTATCATATTGGAACTTATTAAAGCTTGGTGAAAAAAACCTTTCTCCCTGAGTGAGGCCTGCATAGTACCTTATCCTGCTTCACATACCATATTGGGTGCCACTTGCCAGTAAAGCCTCTGAGGATTCTGCAATCCAATGGTCTCTGTCATGTTTTAAATATCTCTAGGATCTTAGAGGTCCTCAATTACTGAGGCGAGAAGTCTTTGTAATCAAACAGGCACAGTGTTTATCAAAATCTATATGTCTACTGTAAAATCTCATTACTTCCAATTAATTGGGGGCAATGTGATGTGAGTTCATGCAACTTAATTATTCTTCCGGAAGTTAAGGCTTTCTGGCCTTTACCGAGGAAAAAGGGAAAAGTCTTTCAGGATAAATTTTAATAAACAGATTTGATTTGTTTGCAATTGGCTAGTTGTTTTAAATATGTTAAGCTTCTGGACTGCCTGAATGAAATAGGCATCTTAGAGAGCTTAATCAAGCCATCTGCCTTTTAGTTTGCCCTAATAATGGTTGTGCTCGTAGGACCATTATTCACAGGAGAAAAGTAAATGTCCACTGACTTTTAGGATTTTATAAATTTTGAAATGGTGGGATCTGAATTCCACTAATTGTACTTGAGAATCTAATAGACTTGAAATGCAAAGACTTGTGCTCTGATATTATTCTTATAGTAACAATCTTAGCTGAGAAAGGGTCTCTTCTGCAGGTTTGGGGTAGAAGATAACCTCCCAGAAATTGGGTGAGACCATGGTTCTCAACCAATTGACCACCTTCTAGAATGTTTGCAATTTAGGATCTCAATTTCCTCTGTGCTGCCTAAGCAGCACACCTGATTTGGTTTTATAGAGATGAATTTCAAGGAAAACATGACCTAGACTTTATTTCAAATTACCCTGAAGATCAATAAGTCTTACCGATGCCCAAAAATGTGATGTTTATAATCTGCTGTTATGATATACAACTGGGAAAAGGTAAATGTCCTGTCAACTACAATCTCTCTTTATTATTTTTTAAGAAGGGCTAGTTTCCATTATCAGAAGCAGATAAGGAATGCCAGCGCCCATTTGTCATTCAAAATGGAACATTTACTTTTAGCTGGAAATGAATGAAAACCATCATGTAGTGGGTTTGTTTTTTAAGAGTGGTAATAAAGTCACAATTCAAGGTCATGGAAAATTCCAATGTGCTCCCATTACGTTGCTAATATTTTGGATAGGGTGGGGAGATAATTTCCCAACATTAACTTTAGATTTCTAATAGTCCTATTTTTCCAAAAATGGAAACGAGCAGAAGAAGCCTGGCATTTTCTTTTTTTTTTTTTTTGTCTTTTGTCTTTTTCCGTGTCCGGCAACGGATCGCAACCCTCAGTGTTGCCCCCGCACCGGGCCGGGGACTGGCAACGGGACCGCAACCCTCGGCGTTGCTCCTGTGCCTCACTCAGCCAGTGAGCAGGAACCGGTCCATAGGTGGGATCCGAACCCTTGGGCGGGAGCGCCGCCGCGCTTCCCAAGCGGCGCACTATCCAGTGCGCCACCGGGCCGGCCCCGAAGCCTGGCATTTTCCCTCACCTTCTCAAATGGTGGTTTTTACATTACCAACCTAGAGATTTTAGTTCCAGTTTGAGGAGGTCTTTTCTTATCCCTGTTTTTATGCAATTAATCCCCTCATAACATGTATAAAGGTCTTTTGCATGTGAAAAATAGGTCACTTAATGAATGAGTGAGCTTGGGCAGCAGATCAGCACCAACACATCCAGACTGTTCTTCTCATAGGTCTCTGTGTAGAAACGCTAAAAGTTCCACTTGCCGTTTAGGGCCAGACCAATAGATGATGGTATAGCTCCCCCTGCTTGGATATTCCCAGACCCCTCAAAATCAAAATATGACCCAAATTAAACTCATCTTCCCCTTTACAAAAACTGCTTTCCTCGAGTCTTTTCAATCTCTAAATGATACCACCATCCATTTCTCAGGTCGAACCATAATAAATTGCCTTTTTTGTAGGTCATAAATGGTTGAATATTGGCAATTTCAAATAGACCAACCATAATAGTTGTTTGGGTCAGAAACCCGGGTGAAATCATTTTCACCTTGCTCCCCTTCAACTCTTACAATGAGCCAATCATGAGGGCTGGTGAATTCTACTTCTCAGTCAGGTCCTGAATCCATCTTTAAGGCAACCTCCACAGCAAAAGCCATCATGAATTGGCCTCACCACTTCTACTGTCTACACTGCAATGAACCAGCATGTCCTCTTTAAAACACGAGTCTGATCATCCCACTTCCATGCTAGAAATCATTCAATGGCTTCCCAATGCCCTTAAGACAAAGACCAGACACTTCACAATGGCTTACAGAGCCTGCAAGCTCCAGCCCCCACTGATCTCTTCAATCCCATCTCCCTTATTTTCTGGTTCCTGTGACCTTCTTTTCTTTTCTCAGTGCCTTCGTACATAGTGTTCCATCTGCCTGGAGCCCTCCACTTTCTCTCATTACACCCCAGGCCCTTGTCGTACAGTAACCTCTACTCCTTCATTCATGCCTCAGCATAAATGACAATGCCTCAAGAAAACCTTCTATGACATCTCCCAGACCGGACTGGAGCCCCATATTCTATACATCCATGAGACTGAGTTCTTCACCTCAGCACTGATTATAGTTCTAATTACTTGTTCAATGCTGTGCTAAACTCAAGCTCCCAAAAAACAGGACCATGGCTGTCTTCTTCACTGCCATATCACCGTCAGGAAGCCACGGCCTAGCACCTCAGGGGCACTCAACAAATGTTTACTGAAGGCATGAATCCTTCACAAATATTAAGGATGCAATTCACAACTTGAAGCTGCCATCCCTGCTCAATAATATTCTATTCTGCTATATCTTAACTGGTTTTTCTATTTGGGATTTTAAAAAAGAAGACAATAACATGCAATTTAAAAATTCGAAACTAAAAAGCTGAATCAGAACTCTAGACCCTTTCTGAAATATACCCTAGCATGGCTATATCTAGTAGTTGTTATTGTTAAAGAGAAATAACAACAACCAAAGCTAACATTTTTTGAGCGCCAACTATGTGTCAATGCGGGGGCGCCTCCCACCCAAAAGATTAAAGTCTGATAAAGATCTTTTAATGAAAGACAGTGCTTGCAGGGCCTCATCATGAAGGGAAGATGGCAAGGCCTCATCGTGGGAGAAGATGCCGGCGTTCCACCCTGATATTCTGGAGCTCTGTGTGCTTGTTATGCTTTATTATATTTTATTCTTTGCTGCCTCATAATTATCACTCTGGGAGACTTGGAAGTAGGATTCAAAATTATACTAAAATATTTAATCATACTAATAATACTTATGATTATGGATTTTCAGGAGATGGCTTGTGGCAGT